GCCCTGAGACTCAGATCCAGGACTCTCAGACTAGAGGACTGGGAGCTGAGGACTGAGGCCAGAGCTCCACAGCTTCTGTCTGACAGCTCACAGCGGCTCAGTCTGGAGACAGAAAACATGGTTATGTAGAAGTTGAATGAATCCTGTGTTAAACAAAGGTTACTCACAGAGCTTTGGTGGAGGCCTTGACCACTGGCAGCAGCCTCAGGAGAACCTTCTCTGAAGCACAGTATCTGCTCAGCTCAAACTGGTCCAGATCTTCTTCTGATGACAGTAAGATGAAGGCCAGAGCTGACCACTGAGCTGGAGACAGTCCTTCAGACAGACGTCCTGACCTCAGGGTCTGTTGGATCTGATCCACCAGAGAAGAATCATTCAGTTCATTCAGACAGTGGAGCAGACTGATGCTCCTCTCTGCAGACACATCCTTACTCAGCTTCTTCTTAATGTACTCTGCTGTCTTCTGATTGGTCTGGGAGCTACTTCCTGTCTGTGTCAGCAGACCGTTTAGAAGGCTCTGATTGGTCGACACTGAAAGGCCCAGGAGGAAGCGGAGGAGCAGGTCCAGGTGTCCGTTTGGACTCAGTAAGGCCTGGTCCACAGCTGTCTGATGAAAATGATGCAGTTTTCTTTTCACACTGAATATTGTGGACTTATGTGTTTTCTGTGAGAGCAGGTTGGTGCCAGTGTTGATGAAGGTCAGATGGACGTGAAGAGCAGCCAGAAACTCCTGCACACTCAGATGGATGAAGCAGTAGACCGTGTCCTGGTACAGGCCTGGCTCCTCTCTAAAGACCTGTGTGAAGACTCCGGAGTACACTGAGGCGGCTGCAGCGTCCAGCCCACACTCGCTCAGGTCACAGTCGTAGAAGATCAGGTTTCCTCTCTGCAGCTGCTCAAAGGCCAGTTTTCCCAGAGACTCCACCATCTTCCTGGTGTCTGGACTCCAGTGTGGGTCTGTCTCTGATCCTTCTTTATACTTGATGTTCTTGACTTTGGCCTGAACCACCAGGAAGTGGCTGTACATCTGCGTCAGGCTCTTGGGCAGCTCTCCTCTCTCTCTGCTCTTCAAAACATGCTCCAGGACTGTGGCAGTGATCCAGCAGAAGACTGGCATGTGGCACATGATGTGGAGGCTTCTGGACGTCTTGATGTGGGAGAGGACTGTGTCGGCCTGTTCTCCGAACCTCTTCCTGAAGTACTGCTCCTTCTGAGAGTCGCTGAACCCTCGGACCTCTGTCACCATGGAGACGCACTCTGCAGGGATCTGATTGGCCGCCGCGGGGCGTGTGGTGATCCAGAGGCGAGCGGAGGGAAGCAGGCTCCCCCTGATGAGGTTCACCAGCAGCAGGCCCAGAGAGACGGACTCTGTGGGGTCTGAGAGGACACGAGAGCTGCTGAAGTCCAGAGGAAGTCTGCACTCGTCCAGACCGTCAAAGATGAAGAGCACCTGGAGGTCTTCAAAGCTGCAGAGATCTGCTTGTGTTTGACTAAAGAAGTGATGAACAAGTGACACCAGGCTGAAGCTTCTGTCCTTCAGAACATTGAGAGTTCTGAAAGTGAAGGGGAACAGCAGCTGGAGGTCCTGGTTGGCTTTGCCTTCAGCCCAGTCCAGACTGAACTTCTGAGTGAGCACTGTTTTCCCAATGCCAGCAACTCCCTTTGTCAGCACCGTTCTGATTGGTTTGTCTGAGTGGGCCGGGTCTTTAAAGATGTCTTCACATGTGATGGTTCTCTCTGCTGGTCTCCTGGAGGCTGCTTCCATGTGTCGGACCTCATGTTCCTGGTTGACCTCTGAAGAGCCTCCCTCTGTGATGTAGAGCTCGGTGTAGATCTGCTTCAGGAGGGTGGGGGCTCCTGCTTTAGCGATGCCCTCAAACACACACTCAAACCTCTGCTGCAGATCCACCTTCAGTTTACGCTGAGAACGTCCAGAAGAAACCCCTGAATGAAGACAACAGAGACAGGAGTCAGAGAAGATCACATGACCATCATGAACGTGTTCTTACTGCTCCACAGACGCTCAGCCAGCTCCTTCTGATCCATCCTCCTCAGGAAGTTCAGTGTGATCTTCAGGAGCGCCTCACTGCTGCTCCTCTGCTCCTCATCCTCCACAGGCTCTAAGCATTCTGGGTAATCTGTGCTCAGAAGCCTGAGGAACTTCTTCAGCTCCTCCTGGAAAAAAGTGGAGAGGTTCTTCTCCAGGTGCTGCACACACACATAAGAAACAACACAAATGGAGATGGGTTAGCGGCTGCTACACTTTGGCAACCCACAGAAGGACGGGTCAAATGCAGACGACACATTTCCTCCCGGTGGCAGTAAAGGACCTTAACCTCTTTAAAGATGGAAACACATGTGACTGCATCTCGTGGATAAACTAGCATAAAGAGTCTTTTCTCCTGAAGTCAGAGTGTGTCACAGGTTTGTGTGTGTGTTGTTTTGTGCGTCGCTGAAGCTTTGTGTAGTGTGTGTATAATACAGAGAGAACAGGACACATGGACATGAGTCACATCTGTGTGAAACTAGTCCTTCAGCTCAACATCTACAAACGACTGAATGACAGACCTTAAATATGGAGACCAGGTGAGAGCCATGGTGCGGACCAGTGGAGACATCTGCAGCCGCTCTGTGGAGAGACAGAGACACTTATGTCCATGAGACTGAGACACTTATGTCCATGAGACTGAGACACTTATGTCCATGAGACTGAGACACTTATGTCCATGAGACTGAGACACTTATGTCCATGAGACAGAGACACTTATGTCCATGAGACTGAGACACTTATGTCCATGAGACTGAGACACTTATGTCCATGAGACAGAGACACTTATGTCCATGAGACTGAGACACTTATGTCATGAGACTGAGACACTTATGTCCATGAGACTGAGACACTTATGTCCATGAGACTGAGACACTTATGTCCATGAGACTGAGACATTATGTCCATGAGACTGAGACACTTATGTCCATGAGACTGAGACAGAGACACTTATGTCCATGAGACAGAGACACTTATGTCCATGAGACTGAGACACTTATGTCATGAGACTGAGACATTATGTCCATGAGACAGAGAGACACTTATGTCCATGAGACAGAGACACTTATGTCCATGAGACTGAGACACTTATGTCCATGAGACTGAGACACATTATGTCCATGAGACTGAGACACTATGTCCATATGAGACACTTATGTCATGAGAACTGAGACACTTATGTCCATGAGACTGAGACTTATGTCCATGAGACTGAGACACTTATGTCCATGAGACAGACACTTATGTCCATGAGACTGAGTCACTTATGTCCATGAGAACTGAGACACTTATGTCCATGAGACTGAGACAGAGACTGAGACTTATGTCCATGAGACTGAGACTGAGACACTTATGTCCATGAGACTGAGTCATGACTGACTTATGTCCATGAGACTGAGACACTTATGTCCATGAGACACTTATGTCCATGAGACTGAGACAGAGACTGACTTATGTCCATGAGACAGAGACACTTATGTCCATGAGACTGAGACACTTATGTCCATGAGACTGAGACACTTATGTCCATGAGACTGAGACACTTATGTCCATGAGACTGAGACACTTATGTCCATGAGACTGAGACACTTATGTCCATGAGACTGAGACACTTATGTCCAGACTGAGCACTTATGTCCATGAAAAAGACACTTATGTCCATGAGACTGAGGACTCTTATGTCCATGAGGAGACATTATGATGAGTATGAGACACTTATATCCATGAAACTGAGACACTTATGTCCATGAGACTGAGACACTTAAGTCCAGCGAGACTCACTCTGTCCTGAACTTCAGTGTTCTCCCATGACCGGTCACTCATGAACTTCAGTGGTTCTCCCATAGACTGGTCACTCCTGAACTTCAGTGGGTTCTCCCATAGACCGGTCCACTCCTGAACTTCAGTGGTTCTCTCCATAGACGGTCACTCCTGAACTTCAGTGGTTCTCTCCCATAGACCGGTCACTCCTGAACTTCAGGGTTCTCCCATAGACCGGTCACTCCTGAACTTCAGTGGTTCTCCCATAGACCGGTCACTCCGAACTTCAGTGGTTCTCCCATAGACTGGTCACTCCTGAACTTCAGTGTTCTCCATATAGGACTGGTCCACTCCTGAACTTCAGTGGTTCTCCCCATAGACACGGTCACTCCCTGAGGGACTCACATCTGGGACCAGGTCCAGACTGAAGTTTGTGGAGGATCCTGAGACACAGAAGAAGAGAGCTTCAGTGTCGGAGAGGCCTTCACCATAGGCTGCGTCACGTCCACAAAACACACAGATATCATCTACACCTGGTATCTACACCTGGTATGAGCTCTGTCCATGTCTTCAGGACACTGTGTCTGTGAGCTGCTGATACAAGGAGTGGGACTTACCAAGGACCAGCTCCTCTTTATCATGGTTTAGTCCTGGTTTAGTCCTGGTTTAGTCCTGGTTTAGTTATCTGGTTATAGTCCTGTTTAGGTTTAGTCCTGGTTTAGTCCTGTTTAGTCCTGGTTTAGTCCTGGTTTAGTCCGTTTAGTCCTGGTTTAGTCCTGGTTGAACCCCAGACATTTAGCTTCTGCAGTTCCATCTATACATATATTTAGGATTTATTATATATTTATATGTTTAGGTGGACCAATAGTCTTGATGATGCACCAGGAAGTAGACTATTCTCCGATAAACCTTATAGTTGTATTTCCTGAATTATTTCCAGAAGATACATGTATATGTATATTAAACATCAAAGTATAAACAGTCAGTGTTGTCTGTGTCTGAGTCAGGTTTCCCAAATAGATCCACAGCAGAAATATTCCTCAAATCAAAATGAGCTGTGGATCTGAAAACTAAAAAATCAGTTCAACGATACAGAGGAACAACAGGAGATGACCGCCCAGGCCCTGACCTGCTTAGCCTCAGACACACATGAATCACAGTCAGACTTACCCATGATCCTCCTCCTTTTTAAAGTCAATCAATCGACCAATGGAGCTCAGTGACGCCGCCCTTCTGATGGTGGGAGGACAGTGCTCTCTCTGGTCCATGCTCAGTCTCTCTGTCGCCGCCCTGCTGGTGGTCAGTCCAGACTCCTACACAATAAAACAGTGTTTGACTCCGCCCACTGTTCCTATGGTAACTGTTGTGTACATACGTCACACATTAACACGTCACACATGGTACTTACTTTCTGGTCACTAACACAGACACATGGTACTTACTTTCTGGTCACTAACACAGACACATGGTACTTACTTTCTGGTCACTAACACAGACACATGGTACTTACTTTCTGGTCACTAACACAGACACATGGTACTTACTTTCTGGTCACTAACACAGACACATGGTACTTACTTTCTGGTCACTAACACAGACACATGGTACTTACTTTCTGGTCACTAACACAGACACATTGTACTTACTTTCTGGTCACTAACACAGACACATGGTACTTACTTTCTGGTCACTAACACAGACACATGGTACTTACTTTCTGGTCACTAACACAGACACATGGTACTTACTTTCTGGTCACTAACACAGACACATGGTACTTACTTTCTGGTCACTAACACAGACACATGGTACTTACTTTCTGGTCACTAACACAGACACATGGTACTTACTTTCTGGTCACTAACACAGACACATGGTACTTACTTTCTGGTCACTAACACAGACACATGGTACTTACTTTCTGGTCACTAACACAGACACATGGTACTTACTTTCTGGTCACTAACACAGACACATGGTACTTACTTTCTGGTCACTAACACAGACACATGGTACTTACTTTCTGGTCACTAACACAGACACATGGTACTTACTTTCTGGTCACTAACACAGACACATGGTACTTACTTTCTGGTCACTAACACAGACACATGGTACTTACTTTCTGGTCACTAACACAGACACATGGTACTTAATTTCTGGTCACTAACACAGACACATGGTACTTACTTTCTGGCCACTAACACAGACACATGGTACTTACTTTCTGGTCACTAACACAGACACATGGTACTTGGGTTAGGGTTAGGGTTAGGGTTAGAAGGAAGTCGTCACAACCGACTCAACTGGTTTGGCAGATTTCTCTATAGTCTCTCTCTGGTTTCTAAATCTGGAGTCTTCCTGGTCTCTCCCTCTGATCTCTCTCTGGTCCCTCTCTTTCTGGTCTCTTTCTGGTTTCTAAATATGGAGTCTCTGGTCTCTCTCTTTCTCTTCTCTCTCTGGTCATTCATTGGTCTCTGCCTCTGGTCTCTCTCTGGTCTCACTGTGGTCTCTCTCTGGTCTCTCTCTGGTCTCTCATTGGTCTTACTGTGGTCTCTCTCTGGTCTCTCTTTGGTCGCTCTCTGGTCTCACTGTGGTCTCTCTCTGGTCTCTCTTTGGTCTCTCTCTGGTCTCTCTGTGGTCTCTCTCTGGTCTCTCTCTGGTCTCTCTCTGGTCTCACTGTGGTCTCTCTCTGGTCTCTCTCTGGTCTCTATCTGGTCTCTCTCTGGTCTCTCTCTGGTCTCTCTCTGGTCTCTCTCTGGTCTCTCTCTCTGGTCTCTCTCTGGTCTCTCTCTGGTCTCTCTCTCTGGTCTCTCTCTGATCTCTCTCTGGTCTCTCTCTGGTCTCTCTCTGGTCTCTCTCTGGTCTCTCTCTCTGGTCTCTCTCTGGTCTCTCTCTGGTCTCTCTCTCTGGTCTCTCTCTGGTCTCTCTCTGGTCTCTCTCTCTGGTCTCTCTCTCTGGTCTCTCTCTCTGGTCTCTCTCTGGTCTCTCTCTCTGGTCTCTCTCTCTGGTCTCTCTCTGGTCTCTCTCTGATCTCTCTCTGATCTCTCTCTGGTCTCTCTCTGGTCTCTCTCCGGTCTCTCTCTGGTCTCTCTCTCTCTGGTCTCTCTCTGGTCTCTCTCTGGTCTCTCTCTCTGGTCTCTCTCTCTCTGGTCTCTCTCTGATCTCTCTCTGATCTCTCTCTGGTCTCTCTCTGGTCTCTCTTCGGTCTCTCTCTGGTCTCTCTCTGGTCTCTCTCTGGTCTCTCTCTGGTCTCTCTCTCTGGTCTCTCTCTCTCTGGTCTCTCTCTGGTCTCTCTCTGGTCTCTCTCTGGTCTCTCTCCGGTCTCTCTCTGGTCTCTCTCTCTCTGGTCTCTCTCTGGTCTCTCTCTGGTCTCTCTCTGGTCTCTCTCTGGTCTCCCTCTGGTCTCTCTCTGGTTTCTCTCTGGATTTTAATAATAATAATGCATTGGTTTATACAGCACTTTTCAGAACACGTGTCATTATTCTTTCTCTCCAAACACGGTGGTGATGAACTACTGTAGCCACAGCTGCCCTGGGGCACACTGACAGAAGCGAGGCAACCAGTCTGTGCCATCAGCCCCTCCCACCACCACCAACCATTCACACACACACCAGACTCATTCTAATGTGGGGGAAGTGTCTTGCCTAAGGACACAACCACAGTTTGGCACTTTACAGCCGCAGCTGTCCCACTGTGGCACCTGCTGTTCCCAGAGGTCTCCCATCACAGACTAACCAGACCATCTCTTGATTAGCTTCAGAGGTCTGAGGGATCTGGCTTTAACATACAGGTGAGGCCACAAACTGTACTTGCATGTAATCATGCAGCCGCATTTTCTCCGGTCTTTCTGGTCTCTCTCTGGGACCAGAGTCAGAGACTGGACCAGAGCCAGAGACTAGGCCCAGGGTCAGAGACTGGGACCAGAGCCAGAGACTGGGACCAGAGTCAGAGACTGGACCAGAGCCAGAGACTTGGACCAGAGCCAGAGACTGGGACCAGAGTCAGAGACTGGGACCAGAGTCAGAGACTGGGACCAGAGCCAGAGACTGGGACCAGAGTCAGAGACTGGGACCAGAGCCAAAGACTGGGACCAGAGTCAGAGACTGGGACCAGAGTCAGAGACTGGGACCAGAGTCAGAGACTGGGACCAGAGCCAGAGACTGGGACCAGAGACTGGGACCAGAGTCAGAGACTGGGACCAGAGTCAGAGACTGGGACCAGAGTCAGAGACTGGGACCAGAGTCAGAGACTGGTCTTACGGTCGCTAACAGGCCGTAGAGCCTTCCTCTCCGGTGGGAGCGGCGCTCATTGGTGCGTCACAGACAGAGCTGCACCTTTAAAGCTCGTGCACATGCCAGACATTCTTGTTGCTCATCCTGCTCCCATCCTGCCACCTGCCCCGCCTCCTTAGGTTTGGTTTGCTCTGGTTTGGTTTGGTTAGCTTTGGTTTGGTTTAGTTTGTGGTATATTTTCTACACACCATTCACCACTGCAGACTCTCACAGCACATACACCGCACACACTCACTACACACTTCAAACCTCATTAAAACATTCACTTTGGTTATTCATAAATATTATTTCAATTGAAACTGTTGTTTAGAGAGTTTCTGTCATTTCTACAGAGGAGATATTTACACCCAGATCTAGCACACGGCAACGGACCCACACAATCTGTTCATAAATATTCAAATGGCTCACTTACAGCTGGAATAGGCTGCAGTGGTGCTGGGGCTAGTGCCCTTTTTCCTGTCAACATGTGTGACAAGTCTTAACAAACGCCGACACATCTCTATTCACCCGCGGCCAAAGAAATGCTTGAGAAGACTCAGATATGTTTTACGAACGCCAAAGTGACCAGAATTATTGTGCGCCACCTCAAGAACGAAACTTTGCTGGAACTACAACTTGGTACATGGCATCGTGCACACGGTCCCCACAAACATGTACTTTCTGAACAGCACATCCTTCTGAACAGAATATCCATTTGCCAAACTCTCTATCTGTGCCTCGTCATTCATTCATTCATATTCTACCCCTTTATTAGTCCATCTCTGGGTCGGGGGGTGGTAATGAGAGCTGCCCCCAATGCTCATAGCACCAGTCCCTCCCTCTGATCCTCTGCAGGGGGTGGGTCCACAGGAAGATGGCTGCTACATCAGTGCCACAGCCTCGGTGTTTCAGCGGGAGCTTCAGGCAATGTGGGGTTATGTGTCTTGCCCAAGGACACAGCGACAGTAGACATTAGTGGGAGCAGAGTTTTGTTCCTCGGAGACAGCCAAATCAAATGAACTTTCCAAAGTCAGATCTTCTTGCTGCGCCCGAACCAACTCAGCGTTGGATACATTTAATGGATATTCTGCCGTGGACAACACAAAATCACTGACTCTGCATCATCTGCAGAATCCGCTTCATGCATGGCCTGCGTCACCGCGCACGCAGGGAACACGTCTGGCTGCGATGACGTAACGCTCTCAGGGACAGTGGGA